ATTTATAAAACTTTTTTAACGTAACGTTATAGCTATCTATATAGGTCTATAAGACCCGTAATGTCACCTTTGCACTTTAAGGAAGCTGATTAAGCACATATTTTGCTTAAATAGGCTTCATCTAAAGCCACAGTGGGGGCCTTGCTGCTTCCACATTAATTTAATGGAAGGGAGATCAGAAAAAATGTTTGATGGTTTTCCTCCCCTCTTGCAGCCCACACCCACCATGATGATCCTGGACCCACAGAAGGGGCAGCGGAGCCCCATAGTGGTGGGGGTCAGGCAGGGGTAAGTTGCACTTTTGAGGGCCCGTGGAAGAGATCAAGTGGCTGTAAAGCTGTCTGAATCACTTCCATCGTAAAGCGGCTGCAGCCATACAGTGGTGGCAGCAAAAGGGTTAAGATATGGGGGCTGCCCGAATTCTGTACCCCGTGTGAATAAAAGGTACATAGTACCCCTGCTCATTCACAAAAAAAGTCTAAATACAAATAAACACACCACATGTTTGAAAAGTCCTTTATTAAAAGAAAAAAAACAAAAATGCCCCTTGATGTCAATCCTTCATCAATAATACTGTCAAGTAATGCAGATCTTTATCAATCATTATCAACTACGACCTGAAAGAAAAAAGGGCTCACGACAATCCAACCCTTGCAAAATACCTGTTGCAAATGACAGATCCTGGCTCAATGTAAACAAAGGGTAAACAAATGGCCAGTGGATGCCGGCTTCTTAGCAACCAATGATGCTGTGCATCCTGCACAGCAGGAAGTGTTCATTTGAATGTAATAATGACTTTCTGATGGAACAACCTGCCAAACAGTTTGGCCAGTTTGCGAACTTCAAACAGGGATAATTAAGTAGAACCCAATATTGGGCAAAACCTAAAGCTCACCCCTGTGTTGCGTTATGAATATTTATTCTGTCTTTGCCTTGGCCACGGCTTTATGCTAGTGATGTGGGCTGTGGAAGAGGATAAATATTAGGAGTGACCTCCTTAAAAGGTCCTTACCTCCCAGGCTTTGCCTCATGGAAATGTCTATCTTAACAAGGACACTCTACTGTAGTCCATGTAAGTCAAGTAAAATGCAGTTTATAAAAGGGCAAACACAAAATAGCTTGAAGCAGCAACATAAGACCGTCCTTTATATGGCTCAGTAGCTTTCCTCATGAGCCCTCACTCTGCTCTCTCACCAGTGTGCCCCAGCGGTCCTAGGGTCACCGACCTTCCCAACCTCTCCCAGCCTTCCCTGGCTGTTCCACGTGTCCCGCACGCACTTGAGTCTGCTGTGGTTCTGTGCTTCCTGCACCCTCACAACTCCCTCTCCACCAACACTCCTCTCTGAGCACTGGGCTGGCTTCCTAATGAGGTTGCTCTCAGCCACCTGATCAGCCCAAGCTGGTCATTGGCAACACCTGGCCCCAGGACTGGAGATCTCATCCCACCCAGAGCTCTACGAAATCTCCAGAGCTCCAGATCCCAGCTACAATCAGGAAAACCTGGACGAATCTGAAAGGCCAAGTTCTTCCTTACAAAACAGTTTACTCTGTGGACCCTCTCAGCCCCTGTGGCTGAGAGTCCTGGGTGCCATAGTTGCCAGACTACACCGTGGCATTGGCTTACACTGCCACACTATATAGAATCATCCAGTCTTTGCCTATCATGCCCTTGCATGGGGATGGATTCCAGAAGAAGGGTTTTTGCTCTAGCTGCCCATCTGGGCCTAGAATATCCAAAATGGCCTGTGGCATAGGCCTAAAAAGTTCTACGCTGGCCTGTAGTGTAGGCCAAAGAAGCAGAAAGATAGCCACCCTTCTAGGTCTACAGAATCTATGCTGGCCTGTGGTAAAGGCCCAAGAGCTGGGATGGAGCATCTTCTGCAGCTTAACTGTTCAAGGTACCTGTGACTGTGCTACAATATATAGAGATAAAGTGCGAACCTACTATTGGGAGGCGGGTTGCTACTGAAATATTAGAGCCACCAACAACTTTACTGATAATAGAAGGCTGATCTTAAAGGTCCACTATCAGTTTGGTGTTACTTGAAGAGCTGAGATATGTTTGCCTTTTTTGGGTCCCATGCCCCAAGCCTCTCTCCACAAGTTATTGAGCCCATACATTTCTAAAAACTCGACTGAGCCTGAAACTTGATTGTCTCTACTGGTGGGTTGGTGTGTTGTTGGGGTCAGCTACAGACCAGCTGTTAGAAGGACTATAAGGGCCCATTAGAAATATAGTTACCCCACTGGAAGTGAGTGCTACGTCCCCAAAAGAATAAACCTTGAAATGCTAAACTCCAGCCAATTGTTTTTAACCTAGCAGAAAATAGGAAACAATTTGGGTGAACGTGAAATAAAAATAAAAAACAAAACAAAAAAAAGGCTCCAAGATAGGGTAGCTAAACAGCAACTATTGTTGCTGGCATACACAAAAAGGTATTCCTATAGAGGATTGTTAGATCTCTGAATTGCAAACATGGATGGTAAAAAAGAATATGTAGCCCACCACACTACATTCCAAAGTTATTTAGTGCAACCACATGGCAAATTACCCTCCCTACACAAGACTGTCAGCTCTCCCTGAACTACACTAAAACAGTGGCAAATGGCTGCTGGGAACCTAACCTTTTATATTGTGGGGGTTGGCACATAACAAAGCCCCCATTATTGGCCTTACTAAGCCAGCTGACACAAGTTCAAAGCCCAGGCAGTGCATTATGGGTTATCAAGAATTTGGCCCATTGACACCATTGAATCTTGACATAAATGCGCTGGGACTGGGAACACTCAGGATTCAACTCAAACTCATGGTAGCGATAAATTCAGACCTCATTCCTACTTTTAAAGTAACCTGGACAGTGAACATGGGACCACAAATTTAATTTGTTTGGTCATTCATCTCCAGTCCATGCCAGCTCATAAATATTGCGAGAGGTGATTTTTTAATGCCTCACATACAAACAGGTCTTTTAAAGTGTTAACAATTGGACATGTGTATATTATTCATGACAGAAGTGATTTTCGCTTTGGTGCATGAGATGATATAGTAGGTGTAGAAGAACTTGCACGCTGTTTAAGCCATATGGTTTCATGTACTATTTTTGTAACTGTATTTATCTGAACAGAAGTATTATATTGACTTGTACACATGTTCAGGCGAATAATGACACATATTAACCCTGGAACATATTCAGACTGACGAACAAACTGTTACAAAAGCTCATAATGTATTTATGTTGTAAACATTTTGAAGGTTCCGCGAAATATATCCCATTATAATATACTATTCAATGTTCTAGTTGTTAAAAAATTGCAATTTCAAACACGATTATATCCACTGGTAAAGCTGAAATCCAGTCAAAACATTTGTATTTCACTTTAGAGTGTGATGGTGTGTGTTTGTTGGGGGGGGGGGCAGGGGCTAAAACCTCTGTCAGGCTCTTAACTGTTTCTCACTATATCCAAAAAGAAAAAAAAAAAAGAATTGTTGCTTGTAGTTAGATTCTAAGGATACAATGTGACTTTTTTGACTATGACTATAGCAGACAACCATCTTTAGAAAAGTCTAAAAATCAAAGTTCTGGTAGATTTCTATGCTGCTTTGCCTGCATTCCCTTTACCATGCCCTGTCTTCACACAAGTGATAGCTGCTGGGTGGAATTTCGGATAGGCGGGAAGGGGAGAAACCAGCCCCTCCTCTGTCACGGCAGAGAGCCGTGACAGGATCGACAGGATCTACTGAGCCGACCTGTGACAGTCTCATTGTCACAGGTCGGCTTGAACTATGAGGTGAGTGAAAAGCACTCACCTCATAGTTCTCCTTTAAGTCTTAAAAATGCATTTAAGTATCTTAACTATTAACATAACCATACCTTATTTGTTTATCACTCAGCTGTAGCTCACCGCACCAAGCTCACTCCCGTGATGGACTACAATCTCAATACAAATTAGTAAACTAAATGTGAGATTGTAGTCCATCACAGGAGCAAGCTTGGAGCAGTGACTACTTTACAGCACACACAGGGACCATGGGGAACAAAAGTAGCCACCCTCCAGAAGGAAGGACAGTGCGCCACTTTATAGGCAGTTTAAGGGGACCCGCCAGACACGATATTTAAAGGAATTTTTCATTTTCATTGTTTCACTTTAAGTGATGGTAAAATCACTGCTCCTTCAAAAACTGTATTTTTTTAAAAAAACAAAAAAAAACCACTTCATTGATTCATGCCCCCCAGGGCAGTAACCGAATCCCCATACCCTTTTTATGGTCAATAAATTGCATATAAGCTTTACAAATGGGGTCAATTTATTTTAAAAGCTCTAGCCCCATAGACTTGCATTGCATTCGAGTTTGAATATGAACTCGAGTTTAAATATAAACTTTTCCCATGTTCTAAAGTTCGAATTCGAACCAAACAGGGGGGGTGTTCGGCTCATCACTACTAAAGATGAGTGAACTTTTTAAAAATCTGCTAAAATCAGCTATCTGATCCCCCCGATCGGATAGCAGATTTTTAAAAAGTTCACTCATCTTTAGTAAGCATGTCTTTGAACATGTATGAAGTTATTCTGTTAATGTTCAGGGAAAGAGTTATCAGACATTTTGGATAATTCCTGTTAATTATTATTGTTTTTCTCTGAGATAAGACAAATTCAGAATGACTACCAGTTTCTGCAGTCTACTGTAGACAGGTAACTGCTGGTATGCATATCTTTTATGTGCTTGACACTTGTACTGCAGATCATAACAAATGATTTTCTGCTTATGCCAATTTTAAATGTTTCGCTCCCAGTAAAAACTGTATGTTCTTTCTTTCATAACTTTTTTAACTATAGTATCTAAACAAGTACGCAACATTATTTTAGCAAGAATCAATCTTGAAAAACACAAATACAGTTTTATGGGCTAAAAGAAAAAGTAGAAAAATGGCATAAATACTACATGAACAGCATAAACTGATTGCTATAAAAGTTTAATAGTAAAGCTTTAAATGACTTACTTTTTGGGTCTGTAATCTGGAATTGATCTGTCCAGAGAGATTCGGTCACTGAGCTGGGCATTATAACCGTATTCCTCATATTTGGTTTCTGATTCATGGCTGTCATCTCTCAATGTAGCAGCCATTCCACCTTGTCCAAGGCCGCCAGGTCCTTCTACAAGTCCCATGGGTTTAGCTAATCCTAGGAAGATTAACATTGCATTACATCTCAGCATGTTTAATACCTGTTATACTGAGACAGAAACATATCCTATAGAATTCTGAATAAGATAGGAATATACAGTCAGACATAAATATGTACATAGTGTTTGGATAGAGTAAGGAATAGTTTTAAATGCTGTCAGTATTTTTGTTGTCTGTGTGAAGATTTCCCCTCTATTGCTGTTCTTGTGACAGCAGCAAATGTTTTGATTTCCTATCACATTTTGTCCTGGTGACCAGAGCAAATAGTAAAGTTGATTCTTTCTTTTGGGGACACAGCAGCAATATAAACCTGACAAGGTTTTAGCTATTAATACACATTAACAAGTCAAGAAAACAAGTTACGAAGTGTAGTGTCTCGTAGTTTTCATCCAAGGGAATTTGCAGTTTGCAAGATCATTTTCCATTTAGTTTGGGGAATGAGGTGAAGCTATGCTGACTTCCACCATCCAATAACATGCAAGCAAAAATACTGTTTTTTATATTCCTTGCTCATGATTCATTACAAAGTGAACTTTTACTACATTCCTTGAGCTAAAGGAAAATTCCATTGCAATAAATTATCCCCCACGCTGCAAGGGGTAAGTGCTTGTTTTCATTTAGGGTGTAAAATAAAGTTACATTCACCTTAACCTCGGAGCCGGCTAGCTCTTAGACCGTTCCCTGGAGCTTCTCTCCCCCTCTGTTCCAGTAGTCTAAGTTCCCATGAGTTATCATGTCTAATACGCAGTGTATTGCTGCAGCAGAGGAGGAGACAGGCTGGAGGGAACACTGTAACAGCCAGCCGTCTGTGAGGTACCGTTAAGTATAACTTTGTTATTTTAGACCCTAGAAAAAAACAAGCACTTAACCCTTGGAGTGAATGGATAACCCTACTGCAAGAGTTAAAACATTTTTTTAAAGTTCTTTAACTGTAATAGTTTGCCCCCCCCCTTCCTTCACAGTGTTGCATGATTCTGTCATAGCCGATTGATCATGCAACAATATAATCTTGGGTATTAACACCTTAGTCCTGAGTATGTGCATGATGAAACAACATGCCAACATCACCACAAAGTTTTATACAGACAACCCTAATTTTATATTACAGATTTAGATTTTTGCAGTTATGATTTGTACAACCAACAAACTTTGCCAATAACTGGATTTTGTGAGGGTCTTCCTAACTAGTTATACCTGAATTGGAATGTTTAGATAGGTTTTTATTTTTATAATTGTTTGACTCATTTGTTGATCTGATCAGATCAGAAGCAATATTTGTGAGTGTGCTCACCTTTAAAAAAGTTTGTGGGAGACATTGTCATAAAAATTGATTGGGAAAAAAATGAATCTGAAAAGCTGGATTTTTTTAAATCAGATGACGAATACTTGTTTGCAGGTATGTTTACCTCCAATCCCTTACTCTTGGCTAACTTGTTAATAAGGGACCAGAAACTGCATACTTGCAAAGCTGATAGATTTGCATTCCCCGGTGGACCCAGTTAAAACATAATTACTGGCTGTATTTATACGTGGTGTATGTCTTCGCTTTTCGTGTCCTGACAGCTACCTTGGGAAAGGTGTCCTTTATGTCCCTGAAACATTGGTCTCTATGGTACATAGATAAATGATCAGACTTCTGCTTTGAAGTGGTGGCATTTTGTTACTTTTAGATTTCTTGGTACCACCGTTGGTTGATTACTCGTTTGACAACAATGGCGATTAGGAGTTACTGTGGCACAGACTGTTTACTGATATTATCAGATGTCTATTCATTCATTTAAAAACAAATCACATGATTGTATACAAAATATATGGTGTATGATATCATATGGGACTCTTGCTTGTATATTTTAAAAATTAGGATTTTATCATCAGAGAAAACTGGTACATTATAACAAACTACTTTGTACTAAAGATTATATATTTATAAGTCTGGCAGGCACTGTCTAATGTCTATTGGCTGCCCCAGTCACCCATAACAGCAATGTTTTGTTACAGTATATCCAAACTATTTATCAAGCAAGCTGAATAAAAGGTCTGGACAGACATTACTATTATTGTTTGAACAAAGTAATTCCACACTCACAGAAAAAAAAACTTAGCTGTACTGCTTTTTTGACAGCTATAATATATAATAATTACAGGCTCTTTTATTTAAAGAACAAGCAATCTGCTAATAATATTCAGAGTGCTTCCTGTGACAATATTGTTTAAACCGTATAATGCCAAGTTAAATACAAAGAGCCACAATGGACCAGAGCGATAACATGACACAAAATGGAGAAGCCCCAGTTGTACTACATAATGTCATTAATAACCTGCAACTGAGAGTATTCAGTACATATTAACTTTTGTGTAAATTTAAATAATGTGTCAAAGTGCATAATGGCATGAATCATAAAAGGTAAAAAAAAAAAGAAAAAACAGAATATGTCAAATTAAGGAATTTACATACTATGTCACTGTGCCATTTAAGCTATCAGAACTGTATTCTTCCGATTTGCTGGTTTATTCCTTTACAATGGCAGATTTCTAGAAATCTGTAGGATGGTTCCCATAGGGAAACCAGCAAGATAAAACTGCATTCTGAAATACCACTTTTCCTATGAAGAGTTTCATAGGGGTTTATTAAGATAATGTGACAACAAAGAATGTCTTAGAACTGCTGACATCAGTCAGACAGAAAAACATTATTATAAAAACACGTAGTTCCTGAAAGAAAAAGATTTATAACATGTTACACATTTTATTAAAAAACTTAGCACGCAGAAATATAATAAAAACATGATTCCATAATCATTAGCTTCCATTAAAGCTTGCTTCACAGACTGTAGATTGACAGTGCAGCTTGAAAGTGCATAATAGTTTATAGGTACCCCTGGAACAAAGGTAGGCCACCTCGGCATTCCAGCTGTCATGGAACTACAAGACCTATGATGCATTGCAAGACTCAGGCATGACTTCTAGAGACAAAGGCATGCTGATATTTGTACTTTTGCCTACCCCTGCGCTAGAACCTTCTCCACCACAAGCTCATACAAAAATTTAAAGTGGGAGGAGTTAAAATCTATGTCTGTGTCCTTTTGGGGACATTCACGCTCCCTACCTGGGGTGGAAAGTGATAGGAAATGAAAAACTTTTCACCAGAATATTGAGCTAAAAGGATATCTCCCAAAGGGGTTGGTAACAGCTATCAACTTTTGGATTTACTTTTATGTTGGTGATATTTGTTATCACTTTTTAGTGTGTCTCAGGACATGGAAAATGTAGGAGAACCTCCATTAAAAGTGATTCAGGCAGCAAAAAAAGAACCAACAGAGGTTATCTAACTAAGGTTCAGCAAAGCTGACTGTTTTCACTTTGACAAAAATGTTATCTACACTTAAAAAAGTTGCTGTTTCTTTAATTTTTCAGTGTTAAATTTTTCACAAACACATAAGCAAAAATGGAAAAAACTAAGAACATCAGAAGGTTGTCTTTAATGTATACATATTTTTCTCTAGTAAAGTTTGCCAAAGCAGAAAATATGGCGAAATCAATAATTTTTCAGTGAATTCACATTTGCACTCATCCACAGTTCTACCACTTTTACACTTTGTTCAAAACCATATAAAATGTCTGTCTGGAGTTCTACTTTAAAATTGAAACAAACATTTTATTTCTCAATATGTACTGTGCAACTAAATTCAGTTAAAAAGCTAAAAAGAACACTAATATTCTGTATTTCACTACTAATTTCTCCTGGGTCATTATTATTATTCCATTATTATTTCTGCCTTCTATTTGGATTGGATGACAGCACAAATCCCAGAAGCTGGGTTACCAGTGTGTCCTGATGAATTCTAGCAGGCATCCTAATTTTTTAACCTTTCTACTTGTTCTATCCTTTCATTCAAAGCACCAATTCCACAAGTTGTTAAGATAATCTCTTGACTACTACATTAGACTCATTGACTACTGTGCTTGATATCAAATGTTTTACCCTAAGTACATTATTCCATAATGACCTGTTATTTTCCAGTCTTTTACAGTGGAAGGGAAGCTCCTTTTGTATAAGTGATAGCATACAGACTTACAGGCTTTTTATGACACAGATCCATCTTCCTGCAACTTTTTTTTTTTGCTTGTTGACTGGCTTTTATCCTGATGCAGTAACTTCGATGCCTTCTGAGTCACAGTCACTGCATACATTTTCTAGGTCAGTGACTAAGAAAACATTTAAACCATAGGTAGCTGGGCAACTAGATTTAGAAGGAGGTCAGCAATGGCAGGCCATGTATTTTTCTCATAAGATATTTCCCTTAGGTCTGTGACTAGTCTCTAGGTTTACATGTGAGATTTTTTTTCCTTAAAAGAAAAAAAGGCAAAAAGAAGGAGAAGGTAAAGAAGAAGTAGAAGGAGACTTCCAAGACAGCTTTACATAGACTAGTTGACTAGTGGACTACTGGCCCTTGAATGAAGAGGGGGAATCATTCAAACTATGGTCCCATCGTTTCTTTCGAGGGCCAGTGGAAGGAGCTATATTTTCAGTGGAGGGAGCTATATCATGTTTTGACTGGCTAAACAAAGTTTAAATGATTGGTCAGATGCTGATGGCGATCCCTAGGCAGCTCACATAGGATTGGCTGCTGAGTTGCATTTAGGGCATGGGAAAATGAATGATGGTAGGCTCTGAAGAAGGGGGCGTGCCCCGAAAACACATTCAGCCAGTGGAGGCTTGGATGACAGAGCAACCAGCGTGTCACCATCTCACCATCCAACAACCTTGTTTTTAGTATTTTGTATTTACTTACAATAGATGATAACGCACAGGAGAAGGTTTCCCCTCTGTTTTTGTTATTAAATTAACATGCTTAGCGGCAGGGTTAACAGATAATAATGCGAGTCACAGACTGAATCATATATGTAATTTATTATTAGAAATGGTCAAAGACAACTCAGAATTAATAAGTGGTTAAATGGTACAATTTTTTATTAAAAAATAGGAACTTTTTCTCA